TTCAGATCTTAACTCCATGGCAGAAAAACTAAAGAAGAGACTCCATGAGATTAAGCAGCAGAACCCAAACTGCAGCTTAACAATAGATGAAGTAAACAATGCTCTCTAGTCTGCAGTCCGTTACACATTTATAAAAACTGTATACCTGTTTTACAAAGTTATGTGATAAAGCAGAATGTTCTTTGTATCCTTTGTCATTTTATAAGTGTATATGTACTCTATAAACTTGAGTTTCCATTGCTAAAGCTACTGTTTGTATATGCTGTACTTAACTTCAGATGGTATAGTTTCTGGGAATCAGAGATTTGGTGGTGGAAAGAGGAAGTTCAGGAAAGTATTTGAAGGAAGAGGTTTGCAAAGATTAAGATTATGAAAGCAGACAGGAGTACTGAGAGACTACGCATGAAGGAGAAGAGGACTGGAGAGATTGGGCTGGAAATGATTTGCAGCAGGTTTTGGCGGTTAAGGATAAATATATGATAAGAAGTGAAGAGTGTGTTGCAAATGAGAGAGAACCGATGAAATAAAGACAGTGATTTAGGAAGTGCAAGTAAGGAGGAAGTATGGGCAGCTATGAAGAGTCTAACTGTGACCGGTCAGCCTTCCAAAAACTGTTAACTACATGTAACTTATGATTTAGCAAGGGTGGAAGAAATCAGAAAGAGGACAAATACTTTTTTACAGCACTCTACCTGATTCTCCAAATTGTTTGACACAATCTGAAAAAGCTGAAATATTCAAATTTCAACTATAGTTCAACTATAGTTTACTAAAAAAAGTGCTGCAAAACTCCACTTTCATATATATATATATATATATATATATATGAATCCAACATAGTGCAACCACTACAGCAATCTGCACTGTCAACGAGCTACCACATGGTGTCGCCCTCACTCCGTTTATATTACTGTTGGAAAAACCACTTCCTACAAATTAAATCTTTATTTCAAACAATAAAATGTAGCCTGCCACTCTTGACGTATGCTATAACTGTTTTTCCTCAAAAGACTCTAACAACCATCAAACAAAGCTTTAATATATTTTTTTTTATGTACTTCCAAGCGATATATATACATAATCTCTAAAGCTAGCGAAGCTGTGCGCTTTAGCTACTTCTGCATCGGGAGTCTTGTGTGTCAGATGTTAAACATGGGGATTGGCACCGCTAGAGGTCCCAGTCTTCCAGGAGCTGGTGCTGTAGTCTCATTAATATCGGTCTGACACCACCAGCGCCGCCGCCCCCTCCTGCCACGCCATGCCGGTGTTCTGGGAATCGCATCGGCTCCCAGGCTGTCGCATCACCGACCGGGGAGGGGCCCCGTTTCCCACCATTGGCTGGTAGCCTACTGTAGCCCATTACCGACAGCTTTACGGTAGAGTGTGTGTGAGAGCGTGTAAGCGGTGGTCTTTTTATCTCGGCCGGGCGCTCAGGCTGCAGGGTTTCAGCATGATTTTAAAAAGACTCTAGCTGATTTTCCCTCCCTAGCATCAGCCTTTAAGCCTCACCACTCTCCAAACTGAAAAGGGATGCGCCTAAACACAAGCGGATACATTGTCCGGACACTGCGAGAGAAGAGGAGCATGTAACCGGGAGAATCCCAGCAGCAGCAGCGGCGGCGGAGGAACCACCTGACTCTTTCCTCTTTTTCCGCTCACGATTTCCCCTCATAATTTAAGGCTTCTCGATGCGCTGAGCCAGTTCTTATCGTTGTTTTGGATATTATCTACAGCAAAATGAGCGAGGAAGTGTCGGAGGTCCCAAAAGAGCTTCTGGGTAAGATACAAAAGCGGATTTGTGGCTGTGTGTCCAGGCTGGAACAATCACCGATACCCTCTCTCTCATCCTCCTAACTCACAGCGTGCATGTGCTCCGCATGGTAACAAGTTTTACTGATAGCATTGTAACCATAAAATCTATTGTGTTTATAATGCAGCCACACTTGGAGTGCAGTGCTAAGGCACAAATATCCAACCCCAGTATAAAAATATGTATACAGGGTTATTTTTTTTCTTTTAAATTCATTCATTTTAATATCATAGCAATACTAAACCGATTCCCCCCTAAAGCAGACTGCTGTTATTAAGAGACTGCAAATTCTTTAGCTCCAGTTAAGCTTGGAGATGTTTATACGCGGAGCACTGCCACAAGGTGCTTGTTCTGTTAATGTTTACATGGGAGGAGAGCCAGATAGTTGAGATGTGTGTGGTCAGCCTGTCAGTCCTCTGCACATAATTTTAACTCACAGTCATCCTGGTCCACTTTAGCATCTCTAGCCTTCTTGGTAGCTGCTCTACTCTAACCCTTGTTTTCATGATCCCCTTTCCTCATTTGTGTGAGTCTGGAAACCCCTTGGCTCTGGGTTTCTGTTTAAGAAAGTAGGTCAGGTTTTGACATCCAGGTGTAATGTTGGATGAACTTCATCATTCATCTCAAGCAGGGTTCATTTTCTCATTGCCAGACACAGGAGCAGTGGAGAATGTCAAGGAGGCTTTTAGGAAAATGCTGTCAGGTCACGTGTTAGCCGTGTATCATTTATACTATAGATCCCTAACACAGTTTTTACATGTTATTTTCTGTGTACCCTGGCCTCCAGTTAGGACAGAAACCAGAAAGAGTGTAATTTTACATTGCAGGAATTTCAGTGGAACTCTTGCGTACTTGACCTTTTAACTAATTTGAGCTATTTTGTTTACATTTTCCCTGAAGTGCTAAACATATATGTCTTTAACAGAGACTGGGATCCACTTGAATACTTTTAAATACAGTTTCTGCAGGTTTTTACAGTGTTTGGGTTTGTTATAGACGGTATTTTTCCTCCTCTTCCTAATGGGAAATTTCCCTGATGTTTGCTGACTAATTCACCCAACTCTGCACACTAAATATAAGGAATCTGTCTGCGTCTGGGTATAACCAGCCATTGTTTGTTGGTGGTGATGATTCAGTATCATGCAGCATTACTCTTGGCATCGTGCAAGGAGTTTCAGCATGATGCTGCAGATGGAAAATTGTTGCATGAACTCAGAGTGTTCTCTGCTGAGTAACAGGACATGTCAAGTGCTTGTGCTCATGTTTTCCGTTTAACTTACTTGGTAGTGAGCAGATTAGGTCAGGACCGGGAAAACACTTTTGAGGTTTCAGCCTTTTGAGGACGGAATATTGAAGTGGACATATTCAGAATAAGTGAGCTCGTGCTCAAAATGTATTTTACTGAAACATGCTCAGACACATTCAAAGTTAGGGCAACAGTTACTCGTCTGATTACACACCTAAAGTAACCAGACAGGCAAGGCTGCGTCAGCAAGGAGAGTTAGGAAACAGAAGGAGAAAGTTTGCAGCGCAATGCTGATGCTGGTAGTAAACTTGACCTTCATCTCTATGATCTTTTTGGAGAGTGAGTTAAATATTTAAAATGCTCTTTCTTTCTATAAAATTGCTTCATGTTACTATTTTCTCACACACAGAAGTTTAAACATTTAGAAGAGCGGAAAAACAATTTTGCTCACTTTTGAAGCAAACTGGCTCCAAAATGACTTAAATGATTATTTGTCTCTATATTGATATATGATGTCTTCTTAATTCTTTATAGATGAAACAGTACAGTGATGGAAATCTCAGGAGGGATTTTTTTCCCACTCCTCTTCACAGAAACTTTAAGTCCTTTAGGTTTCTTGGCTGCTTCTTGTTAACTCCAAGCTTCAGCTCTCTTCAAAGATTTTCTATAGGACTGAGATCTGGAGACCGGCCAGGCCACTCGAGCATCTTAGTATTTATCTTCTTTAGCCACTCCTTTGTTTCATTAGTGATTTGTTTTGGGTCATTGTCATGCTGAACACCCATCTGTTACTAAGGGAAGGAGGACCTTTTTTAAGATTTTACAGTACACGGCCCTGTCCATTGGCCCCTCAATGCTGTGAAGTCGTTGTGCACCCTTAGCAGGAAAGCAGCCTGAAAGCATGTTTTCACCTCCATGCTAGACTGTGGAGGTGATATTCTTTGAGCCATACACAAAGAATCTGCCTGTACACATGCCTTCTTGAGCAGGGGGACCTTGTAGGCGCTGAAAAATTTCAATCCATTACTTTTTTATGTGTTACTAATGGTGTTCTTGGTAATTGCAGCCCCACCTGCAGTCAGATTATTAACAAGCTCCTCCTCCAGCATTTGATCAAATAATTATTTCCCCTACTGTGTCATGAGTGTATTTATTAGTGGCTTTGTGAAGCAACAAATCAGGTTTGACACTAAGTTAATAAATTAGCCAACTAATTTATGGAGCTCTCAGTAGTTTGTTTACACTTTTGCAATTACATAAGTGTCTCATTTCCCCACCACCTCCAATTTAAACTGGTGTGACCTATAGCGCACATGCTCTACCTACCAAATGCAAACACAGTTGCCTTGTGAAATAAGAAATCCTGTCACAGCTACATTAAATTGGCAGAAAAAAAAAATTACATCCGAGTCCGACACGAGTGATTTGAGACCAAAATCTGCCCAGACCCATTAAAACATACAAGGCCTACATTTGTGGCCTTTTGAGAGTCGCAGAGATTTTTCTGTGACTCTCAGGTCTCTGCACTGAGGTTGCAAAAGTGCTGCAGCAGGAAATGGTGCACACTTGCAGTGAAGTTTATTTAGGAAGCTCAAGGCTGGCAGATGAACCGTTTTGCACCGTACCTAATTATTACTTTTCCTTTGATCTTATGATGGTGTGAGGAAGCCCGTAGGTGAGGATATGCGCAGCACAGATGTACATGCAGAATCCCCGTCTGTGTCAGACGCATGTGCGCAGACTGCATTTGTGACTGTGTATTAGGTGAATTAACGTGGAGAGGGGGCTGACCCAGTTCTCCTGTTTGAGCCTGTTCGCTGGTTGTTGACACTTCTGCTGGGTGTGAATAATCAGTCTGTAACGGGAAACATACACTCGGCATTAAGCCTCTGTGGGCCTGTGTTCAAACGGGTATGGATATACTCACATGCATAATTGAAATTATTATATTATAAATTATGTTTTTTCTTTTCTTTTTATGTGTTAGAAAGTAGGCGTTAAACGTCTCAGTCGTCAGAAGAGGGATTCATGATCTGATAATTAAATGAAAACTAGAATAAAGTCAATATTCTGTTATATTAAAATGGAACTTAAATATTTCATCATTTTTTTTCCTAATCAGTAGATATGATGGATTTTTCCCCTGTGGCAGATGTACACTGATCTTTCTCTGCTGCGTAAGCAAAGTTGGAAAGAGACTACAAATTAAAAAGAATATGCATTAAAAGCCACCTCTTCTCTTCTCTTCTCTTGTTGTAGGGAATTACAATTTCTTTAACAGCATTTTCCCAAATTTTCTCACTTTAGTCGGTGTCACTCCTTATTTATTTGACTCCTTATTTGACATCTTCTCTCCTCCTCTGTGTAGAGAGCGTGAGGGATGCGGTGGGAAGAAAAGTGAAGCTGTCACTGCGGAAGAGAGTCAAACTGGAGATCAAAGGAGACAAGATGGAGAACAGAGTATTGGTGAGTCAACTCCTGATGCTGCCAAACCATGCTGTTTCATTAAGGCTTGCATTTATCGAAATGTACTGATTTCTCCTAAGAACGTCAAAAATCTTCCTGCTTTTCCCACACTTGTCTTTAGCTGCATAGTTTGTCTTTTCAAGGTTCACTACTTTGACTTTTAGGCTGATTGCACAGCAGCCCTGAACATTTCTAGACATGAAGGAGCGCTTCATTAAGAGTTCACGTGTAAAAACGGCTTGAGTGTGTGATCTGATTAGAAGGGGCAGAGGAGTGTGTGTGTAAAGCATCCAGCTGGTAACATTTATCAGGTTTTATTAATAATTGCCAGTGCAGTGTCTGGCATTAACCCAATATGTGGGCTGTGTGATCTTCTCGGCGGGGTTTTGTAAAGGTTGCACAAGAGCTGAATGAATCGGACTCGGGGAGTTGCACTGTGATTGCTTTTCTTTTTTTATGGTAAGGATTTATTTATATTTTGGCTGAATTTCTATTATTAAAAATATGCTGAGCTGAATGTTAGCAGTTCATATTGGCAGTGCCCTGCTGGCCCTTTTAGTAGGATTACTTTTATAATGAAGAAACATGTCACGATTGTCTGCCAAAGGGAAAAAACACCTTTTTCCCTATAATTTCTAAGGATGTGTATGTCGCGTGTTGGCGATAAGGATATCCTCACAATGAATCTCCCATGCTGACTCTTAGCTTGTAAGTTTGGATACAGTTTGAGGGAGTCGAGCAATCGAGGTTTTAGAAGACGATTTTAAAGTTGCCTTATCTGTGTAGCTCCAAAGTGGCTGCTACTTTGCTGATAGTGTTGATCAGTGGCTCAATCTACAGCCACTAGCTTCCTTTGCTACTTGTCCGATGCGTCATTCATTCATTCTGTCATTTATTCACTTATTTATCCATCCAGCGACATCTCTGACTTTACACACCAGCCCTCAGTGTGTGCAGAAATCAAGTGGAAATAGCAGCTCAGACCATTAACTTTTGGCCGCAGATCAGTAAATCCACTAGCAGCTAAATAATTAATACCTGGCAGATCATTAAAAATGCACTTGGCTCTTTCTGTGATGAACAGGGACAAAAAGCTGATATAGTTAAGACAGAACAGTTGCTTTAGTAACTCAGCTCTCAGTGGAACGTGGAGCTTTTTGTAATTCAGCTTTGTGTGGGGGGAAAAGCTTTGTGAATAGGCCTGCACAAGATTTCTCACATTTCTTCCATCTATATGCTTGTGGTAATGCTAGCACTGCTAGTACTGTACAAGTCTCCTAGGGACACAAGCAGAAAGAGGTAAGAGACAAAAGTGATGAGCATCTCTTTAACATCTTCTGTACTTGCTAAATGGTCTGGGAGCACACTGTGGGGGGAGAAAGTAGGCCTTCCTCTACTAAATGAGATGAATGAGTACTGCTGGTTTCTGGAGCCATCAGAGTCAGCACGGTTGATGTGGAAGAGGTACAGATGTGTTATTTAAAGACTTCTGTTATTTGCTAGTGTTTTACTTGCTGCATAAAAGGGCATTTCTGGTTTCATTCCTAATGTTAGCTGTGATTTTAATAAATCAACCTTTAATAACCCACAGTACTGTGCAAAAGCATCGAGCCATGTCTTATTTCTGTATAGTTTGAATCCAAGGAAGCAGAATTTCTTGGAATGGGAGTGGGCTTAAGCAAGCATTTTCCAGGCTTTCTGAAGGTCTTTCAAAGTTTTTCTTTGGACATTGGCTGCTTTTTAACTCATTTTCATTCCAGTGCAAACATTACAGGAAACATCACAAGCCCAAAAAAGCCCTAAACAAAATCTGCAGCAGACAAACAGTATTGGAAGTCATGTCTTGTCAAAGTCATGTGCTTAAGAAATAGGAAACGGGTCCAGCATAAACCTGACATAGAACGTGAGAGTTGCATCTGGCCCTTCAGGTGATCCATTGAATATTCACTCATCAGAAGCCTCATCAGAAATGGTGTCAGTGGAAGGTTGACTGTCAAAAAGCTCGACAGTCGCTTGAAACTTTTAAGGAAGGGAAACGGGGAGAAAAAGCTGAGGAATGTCACATTACACAAAAACTTGATTGAAAATCAGTGGCAACAGGTCTTATGGAGAAGAGATTTATTGCAGAAGTAAAGTAGCCTCTTGTATAAGAATAATAAGATGAATACAGAGGGATGCACCTCCTGGGAACTTGGCTCTTTCACTTTAAGAACCTTGAGAATTGTTCACACACTGGTCTGCCTAAAATGGGTAAAAATGTGCTCTTGACAGTCCACTGTTAGCGTCCACAGGAATCATGTAATCTATTAATACAACATGGTCTCTGCAGAGGACCATACACGTGCAGACAGACACACACCATACACAATTGTAATTATCACCCTGTCTCCTTGATGTCCACCAATCGCAATTTTCCTGTAACAAAGTATTTTGTTCTATTTGTATAGTATGTTTTTCAGTTTATCTCATTCTATTCTATTGGTTTTTCTCTTTTTAAAACTTTTCATTAATACTCAAATGTAATTTAGTCCATTCTAGTGCTCGACCTGCAGCTAACTTTACGTGGCTATGACAACAATGTCGCTATGTAGGAGCTGGACACAGAGGCTATAGTAGTGCTCATACGCACATACGCACTAAACAAAAGAAAGAAGTGGGAGTCAGTACTGGGAAGTGAGGAATTCCAGTGGAGTGGCTCTAGTATTTCTTCCAGACGCGGAGCGTGACGTCGTATCGGCGCTCTGCTCGACTGAACAGAACAAGTACAGCGCTGTTTGTTGCTCTGCAGAAAAGCAGAGTCTGACAGACTGATTATGGAGGAAGTGGCTCAGAGGGAAAATAAACATGTCATGAAGTGTAACCTGTGAGTGTTATCTAGAGTTTGGCATGATGAAAGAACAATCTATTTATAGATTGCCTGGAGATTAAATGTTACTATCAAATATGAGCTTCAAGTATTTTGAAAAAGTACAAACAGGAAGTAGAAACAGGATGAAGAAAAAGGGGGCGTTCAGCTAGTTTAAATGGAGGGTATAGCCAGTATATTATGGAAGTGTAGCATCTGCTGTTCAGTGTTTAAGGTCTAAAAAAGGTGTAAAGTTTTCGAGTCCTTACAGCTTGAATTATTATAGAACAGATTAGCCATCAATACAAACTTAAGTCAGTTTAATACTATTGCGGTTTAGTACAGTTGGAAAAATTAACTTTATTAGGATTTGATTATGCAATAAATGGAAAGTATGATTCTGTTCAAGTAACCTTGATGAGTAATGTGTTCTTACTGACGCTGAGTAGAACCTACATCAGTGTTCTCCTCCTCCCAACTTTGTTAGGTGTTCAAATCCTGGCAAGCAGCTCTCCTTTCTTTCTGTGGTTGTTTACTCTAATCTTGGTGGACAGCAGACTCTAGGACGTTTTTGTGATTTTTACGTGACACTTTGCAGTTTTGCTGTTGGCTTCTTTTTTTTACTTTAAAAAGTACCCAATATCTATTTTCACAACAGTTTATCTGTTCTTTGCAAGTATTACTCAAAAACATATGGATGCATGGAAAAACTATCTAGAGGTGGAGCTTGGCTAAACTTTGAAATTGTGAACTTTAGAAGTTGATCTAGACCTGTATCTGAATTTAGGTAATTTTGGAAGCATGGATTGCCATTGTGGTTTAAGGGACAGTGGATCTTTCACATCATATGCATGTCGCACATTATCTTCTTCCTTAGAAAGTCCAGACCAAGATGTCCAAGGACGTAATTCATGCATGGTATGGAAGGAATGTTTAGCCTTGGTGGAGATGCAGTCTCACAGTGCTCTTGTTCAGTTGTTTGCTCGTGTACTCATTCAAAGAGGAGTAAACACTCCCTTCCTTTACTTTTGAAATACTGAACCTTAACCCTGTAACATTACAAATAAACTCCAACCTATATAGGATTTTTTGTTGTTGTTTTGTTTTTAGACAGATACCTGTCCTGATTTGTTGATTTACAAATCTGATATTCGAATGTGTCATGGAATATTTTTTCCTTGAGAAATGCAAAACATAAACAGGTTTCCTTAACGTTTGTTTTTTGTGGTCATTTATTTACTTCTCTCGGTTTGCCGGACTCTGCTTGTATCAGCTGGTTGTCATGTTTGTGGCTTTCTAAACACGTTGCCATGAAGGAAGTTGCAGAGAGTCCCTTGTGAACAAACCATGCAATGTCAACATTTTCACTTATCGGCCATTATAAATGCTGAAGCCGGTAGATCAGCAAAGAGCTAACACCAGCCTAACCCTAGTTTTATTTCCTTTTTAAAAAGAATCATCACTTCTTTTTTTAATTTTTTTTAAGAAATAAAGTTTAAAATGAGGATCTTTATATTTAAAAATACACATTATTGTTTTGATATTTGATATACTGTCTCTGTATTATTTGTAATTTTCAGTGGGTTAAATGATCTGCAGATTGGTAAGTTTTGTTGTTATGTACAGAAACACAGACTAATAACCTTTTTGGTCATATCAAACAATCAATCAAGCAATCTCTTCTTTGAATGATACCTACATCAGTAGTGTAGTATCTTCAGAAGCCATCCGGCTGATGTTTTGTTTGTTACATTTCTTTTACCTGACTACAGATACCACATAAACTCCTAAACTTAATTTGCTTTAGAACATGCGGCACCTCTCTCGCCACTGTGGCGTGTACAGATAATCAAGGGAGCAGTATTGTTATTTCCACTATCAATTAGGCTGTCTATTATATACACACACTCCCAGCCTGAGCGAGGCTGGGAGTGTGCCTGAGGCATCTGTTAAGCGCACGAAAGCTTGATACATACAGCCAGCTCCCTGCTTTGAAGACGGGGATGAAGGGGATACAGATAATAACATCAGTCCATCAAACACACCCTGGAGTAGAAGCGAAGGGAGAGGGGAAGAGTAAAATGTGTATTGAAATGTAGTGTACAGGGCAGAGTGCATGGAGAATAATCAGTGGAGAAAAACCATCATAGCAAAG